GCACTATCTGCAGGTATGTCTGTTCTTGTGATTCTCCCCTCACTTCGTATCAGCTGGATACTTCACTCTCGGCTCCAGCTCTCTGTGGCTATGTCATTGTTCATGGGCTCAGATGTCCCCAGGTCTCACCACACTTTGGACCAACCAGCCCTTCGTTTTCTTTCTCTCTGATCTCCAGGTTAATGGAAGTCTTGGAACCTGGTTGAACTCAGCCCATTTCTTCATTGCTGACTTTTCCCCTCTTCCTCCCCACCCTCCGCACCCCCATAGGCCAAAGTGGTCACCAGCAAGCTTACATGCCTGCTCATGCGTTCCCTTTGACTTTCAGTCGTAGAGGGGGGTTTATCCTGAGGGAACTTGATTGCTTGCCTTGATGGCTTCACAGCAAACAACTTACTTATTCTTATAGTAGCCAGTCATACTGCCATTTTTGTTTTGGCTTTTTCCTCATGATCTTTCTTTGAAGGTTTATCTTTTGTTGCTCTAGCTGTTCCAGGCTGCTCTGCTTGTCCTTTGTAATGGGAATGTCCCTCTTCAGAACGTTCTGGATGGGGCTAAGGATTCCACTAAGGTCCTATACTCTGCAAAGGTTCCACAAGAGGCATATTCCACTTGGCAAGTTCTAGAACCCCTTTTAGGTATTTCCATCCACTATAGGCTGAAGACGGGCTTACAAGCTTTCTGTAATCGTGTTTCCCGACATTCCTTTCTATCCCACTCAAGTGCCTATTTTACAATAGTAGGCAAAAGAAACCAATATTCATAAGACAGTCAAGCATGTTAATATTATTACCCCTCTTCAAACTATGTCTTGATCCCTGTATCACAGAGCCCTGTTGTTCCAAGGTTGAGCATGTGTCACTATTTTCCTCTGTCCCATTTAGCCCATGTAAACCTGTCTTAGTGTTCCCCTGTCTACCTTGTTCTTCCACCCCCTCCCCCTTCTTTTGTATTGCCCTCTCCAGCACCCAAACTGTGATGTGTCTGCCTACTACCCTATGCTCTATGGTTGCCTCCCTCCACCTCCCTGAAACCCTCCCACCCCATCCCTACCAGTAACCAAAAAAAAACTTTTTTTTTTTTTCATTTCAGTTTGGGTATCTTTTCCTAAACGTTTACATTAATGGTCTTATGCAACATTTGTCTTTTTGTGACTAATTTCACTCAGCATAATGTCCTCAGGGTTCATCCTTGTTATATGGTGGCTTACAGCTTCCTTTTCTTCAAGGTAGCATAATATTTCATTGTGTGTATATCAAAGGTTGTTTATCCAGTCTTCCATTGATGGGCATTTAGGTTGTCTCCATCTTTTTGCTTTTGTGAATAGTCCTGCTATGAACATTGGTGTGCAAATATCTACTCGTGTTATGGCTCGTATTTCTTGTGTATATATACCAAGTAGAGGAATAGCTGGATCATAAGGTATTTCTATTTCCAACTCTCTGAGGAAGCACCATACTATTTTCCAGAGTGGTGGGACCATTTTGCATTCTCAATAGCAATGTAGGAGGGTCCCAGTCTCTCCACATCTTTGCCAGCATTTATTGTCCTCTGCATTTTTGAAAATTGCTGTTACTGCTGGTGTGAGATGGTATATCTATCTCATTGTAGTTTTGAAATGCAACTCTCTAATGGTTAATGATCGTGAACATTTCTTCATATGTTTGTTTTCTGCCTGAATCTTTTCCATGGTGAAGTGTCTGTACATGTCTTGTGCCCATTTTTTAATTGGATTATTTGTCTTTTTCTTGTAGAGCTGTCGTAATTTCCTGTAGATTTTAGGAATTAGTTGCATGTCTGATATGTCATTGCAAAAGATTTTTTCACATTCTGTGGTGGTCTCCCTTTTTAATCTTTTGGTGAAATCCTTTGATGCACCTAAGTTTCTAATTTTTAGAATGTCCCAGTCATCTATTTTGGCTTCTTTTGTTTGTGTAATTTTCACAATATTTGGCAGTCTGTGTGTGCCCTGTATTGTTGTTTTGTTAAGTGCCGTCGAGTCGGTTCCAACCCTGAACAGGGTTTCCGAGGCTGTAAATCTTTATGGGAGCAGAAAGCCTCATCTTTCTCCCGCGGAGCAGCTGGTAGTTTCGAACTGTTGACCTTGCGGTTCGCAGCCCAATTTGTAACCACTACTCTACCAGAGCTCTCCGTATTTTTTCATTGATGACCTTCATAATTCTGGGATTCACCTTATGGTCTTTAAGCCATGCTGAGTTGGTTTTTGTATATGGCGTGAGATAAAGGTTTTGTTTCAGTCTTTTGCATATTGATTTCCAGTTCTGCCATCACCATCTGTTTAAGAGATTATGTCTTCCCCAATCCATGTACTTTGGCCCTTTGTCAAAGATCATTTGGCTGTATGTGGATGGGTTAATTTCTGGATTCTCAATTCTGTTACAGTGATCTATGTATCTTTCATAGTATCAGTACCAGGCTGTTTGACCACTGTAGCCATGTAATAAAATTTGAAATCAGGAAGTCAGAGGCTTCCAACTTTGTTCTTCTTTGTAAGCAGTGTTTTGCTTATCCTGGGTGTCTTTCCTTTCCATATAAAGTTTGTAATTGTTTTTTCCATCTCTCCAAAGAATGTCGTTGGAATCTGGATTGGGATTGCATTGTATGTGTAGATTGCTTTGGGCAGTATTGACATTTTCTTTGACATTCCTATCCAGGAGCATGGTATATTCTTCCATTTTTATAAGTCTCTTTTGGTTTCTTGTAGTATAGGGTTTGTTTGTTTTTTTTGGGGGAGGGGGGTTGTATAGGTCCTTTGTTTTTCTGGTTACATTTATTACTAAATATGTCATCCTCTGGGTGGCTATTGTAAATGGTATTGCTTTCCTGATTTCCTTTTCAGTGTTGTCATTATTAATATAGAGGAATCCAAGTGATTTTTGTATGTTGATCATTCTTGTACTCTGCTAGTTTCCTGAATCTTCCAGTGAGTTCCAGTAGTTTTTTTCCCCTGTTTTTTTGCTAAGTCTTTGGGGATTTCTATGTATTAGGATCATATCGTCTGCAAATAGAGTTTTATTTCCGGTCTGACAATTTGGATACCTTTAATTTCCCTATCTTGCCTTAATAGCTCTGCTAAGACTTCCAAAACAGTACTGAATAGGAGTGGTGATACAGGGCATTTTTGTCTGGTTCGCAAGGGAAAGACTTTTCAGTTTCTCTCCATTGAGAGTGATTCAGCTGTTGGTTTTATATGTATGCTCTTAATTATGTTGAGGAATTTCCCTTCAATTCCTACTTTGTTGAGGGTTTTTATCAGGAATGGATGTTAGATTTTGTCAAATGCCTTTTCTGCATCAACCAATATGATCATGTGATTCTTTTCCTTTTTCTTATTTATATGGTGCATTACATTGTTTGTTTTTCTAATGTTGAACCATCCTTGCATCCCTGGTATGAATCCCACTTGGTCATGATGTATAATTTTTTTGATGTGTTGTTGAATTTTGTTGGCTAGGATTTTTGTTGAGAATTTTTACATCTGTGTTCATGAGGGATTTTGGTATATAATTTTCTTTCATAGTGACGTCCTTCCGTGGTTTTGGTATGAGGGTTATGCTTGCTTCATAGAATGTATTAAGAAGTTTTCCATCCTCTTGTATGTACTGGAATCATTTGAGTAGAATTGGTGATAGCTTTTCCCTGAATGTTGATAAAACTCACCAGTGAAGTCATCTGGACCTGGACTTTTTTTGGTTGGGAGTTTTTGGATAACCTGGTCAATTTCTTCCTTGGTTACAGATCTATCCAAGTTTTCTACTTCACTCTGTGTAAGTTTAGGTAGTTCGTGCTTTTCTAAAAATGTATGCATCTTTAGCTTTTCAGATTTGTTGGAGTACAACTCAATAATATTCTGTTATTATCCTTTTTATTTCTAAAAAAAGGATTCTGTAGTGATATCACCCATTTGGTTTTTTATGTGTGTTATTTGGGTCTTCCCCCTGTTTTCTTTTGTTAGGTTTTCCAGTGGTTTGTCAATTTTTATTCTTTCAAAGAACCAGCTTCTTGTCCTGTTGATTCTTTCTATAGTTTTTCTGTTTTCTATCTTGTTTATTTCTACTCTAATATTCATTATTTCTTTATTCTGTTGATTGTAGGCTTACTTTGCTGGTCTATTTCTAGTTGCTGGAGATGAGTAAATGGGTTTTTAGGAATGCTCTGTTTTGTTTCTGTATAGTAGTTACTAATGTTCAAAATACTTATTTTCCTTTTCTTTTTGCTCTTTTGAGCACTGTAAGATGAAGAACGTTCTCTCTTATCTCCCCTGCATACCTAGATGCTAGCAATACTGCCTGGCATTTATGTTTCCCTAACACTTGCTCACATTTCATAGGGCTGTTGTGTCAGTTCTGTGTGTTAATGCATATAAAGTGCTTAGAGGAGGATGTAACTGGTACATAGAAAGCCCGAGGGGGTAGTTCTACTCTGTCCCATGGAGTGTGTCACTATGAGTCAGAAAACGACTTGACTTGATTCAGGGTCTCTAACTGCAGAATTGGGGAGGTGTGGCGAAAATACTTTGTGTATCACTGTAGGATCAACCCTGTAGTGTGAACCACAAGGTCAGCTGTTCAAACCTACCAGCTGCTGTTCAGAAACTCTATACAGGGTTGGACCTGACTGGATGGCACTTGACAACAACAATGTGTGGCTGAAACTCAGAAAAACATTTTGGTGGGTTAAGGTTTTTAGAGGAAGAAGAAATGTTTCAAGGCTTCTGGGAAAAGAACTTGCCTCTGATTTTCCTGAATATGTGTCACACATTTCCAAGGCCTGAGTCAGACAAAGTACTATAAAGAATTGCAAGAAATATAATAAGATATTTTCAAGTAAACTTAAGTTTCAGAGGGAAAAATTATAATATAAATATATGTTGTATATATTCTTATTCAAATACTTGAAATTTAGCAAGAAAAATTCAGTTACTTTGTTGAGTATTACCAGGTTTGATTCCTCTTGAGTAATTTGTTTTTCTTTTTTAGGCATACAAATGGTGTATTGAAGCCATGAAAGAAATCACAGCTGGCTTGCCAGTCAAAGTTGTGGTAGATGTTTTAAGACAAGCTTCTAAGGTGATTATAATACTAAAATGAATTACATAGGATTTACCAGGTGTTACATTTCTTTTAATTAACCTATTATTTAACAGATAAGGTTTTGTGTGTACCATAAAGTAACAAGATATCTTTTTAAATACCTGTGTTCAATTTTAGAAATCTGGTTTCTTAAAAACTATCTTATACACATTGCATTGAATTTTCTTCCGCTCAGAGTATCTGTGTAATAGTTCACTTGGATAATTCTTTGAACTCACAGGAGTATGTATCAGATTTGTACATTCGCGCTTCTCTGGCTTGAAACTGTACAGCAGTCTGAATTCTTTATGTGAAAGTTGTGTTCTAAAGGGTAGGCCTGGTATTCTAGACCTCTAGTCATAGTATTGCTCTGACAGCATGTGAGCATGGCAGCTTTCGGAGCTTGATCTGTTGGGCAGTCCTTGTTGGATTTGTCTCTAGATTATTTTAATCTGTCAATACATGAATTAACTCTTTAAGGCCATTTAATAGTATTTAGTATTGGTACTCTGTGGCCTGTAAGTATCAGTGTAATTTTCAAATATGCTCTTTTTCATCCAAACTTCGCTCAGTTTTTAATATTCAGTTTCATAGTTTTAGTTGTAGAAGTTTCAATATGGATTCTAAAATTGTAGATTTAGAAGGGTTCTAGATTTCTGTGAAATGTATTATTAAATCAGTTATTTTACAAGCATGTAAATAACAGAAATATTCAGGTTACCGTCAAAGTTTAAAAGGGGATTTTAATGTCTTTTTTAACTAATTCAAAACATCGAGTAAGTCTTTATATTCCTATATGCAGATGATATTTTGAACTGAAAAATTACTGTCTATTCTTAGGGATATTTTAAGGAAAAATAGAAGTACTTGAAATTCTGTGTATTTAAAAATTATCGGATGAAAACTGCAGAAATTTTTTTGTAAACTACTATAGAACTGAGATACAAAGACCTTACAAAATAACATGATGGTCTCCTCACCCTCTCTCCCTTTTATTTAAAAAGTTTTGTGAGGTAATTTTGTTATAACATGCTTGCACTAGGCATGACTGTCCATTGTGTGTAGATGTGCATAAGTGTATGTATATATATACAAGATATATATGTTGTTGCATACCATCAAGCCAGTTTCAACCCAAAGCAACCTATATAGAGTTTCTGAGAAGCCGGCTGGTAGGTGTGAACCACCGACTTTGCTGTTAGCAGTACAGTACTCATCCTACAGTGCTGTACCAGGACTCCACAGTGTGTATAATTGAGTTTTCAAGTACTTGGAGCAAGGAAATTTTAGCAAGAACCCTCTTACCATTATGTATCGGTATAAGTGCCATCGAGTCCATTCTGATTCATAGTGACCCTGTATAGGGTTTCCATGGAGTATTTGGTGAGTTTGAACCGCGAGCTTTATGGTTAGCAGTCCAATGCTGATCCAACAGTGCAACACCAGGACTCTAGTGAGTATAGTCTGACTATAAGCTGTACTCATATTATTACACTAATTACCAGTTTTGAGAGCTGTTTTATAATTTTTCTCTTTATCTTTAGGCCTGTGTAGTAAAACGTGAATTTAAGAAGGCAGAGCAGTTAATTAAACACGCAGTGTATTTGGCACGGTAGGTGATTATTAATAACAATACTGTTTCAAATGGTCTTTCTCTACTTTATGTCCTAATAGTTTTTTTACGTGTGTTTTTTTTAATAGGGATCATTTTGGATCAAAACACCCAAAATATTCTGATACACTGTTAGATTATGGGTTTTACTTACTCAATGTAGATAATATATGTCAATCTGTTGCAATTTATCAGGTATGTTAAAAGTTACACTTTTTCTCTTTTAGTCTTAATTGACTTATTTACATGTATTTGGGTGTAATGTATCAACTACTCTCTACGAATAACTTTTTAAATCTGGTTCATATAAGGGACACTCTTCTTAGTAACTAAATTATGGCTGTTGTTGTTGTTAAGTACCGTGGAGTCAGTTCTGACTTACAGTGACCCTGTACAGGGTTTCCAAGGCTGTAAGTAAATCTTTACAAGAGCAGAAAGCCTCATCTTTCACCCACAGAGCAGTTGGTAGTTTCAAACTGCTGACCTTGAGGTTAGCAGCCCGATTTGTAACCACTACGCTACCTGAGCTCCTTAAGTAATGGCTACGCAGTTTAAAACTTTGTGTTTTAGGAATTAAAGAGAATCATTCAGTAAAGGAGCTCTGGTAGCGTATTGGTTACGAATCAAGCTGCTAATCTCACGGTCAGCAGTTCGAAACTACCAGCTGTTCTATGGGAGAAAGATGAGGCTTTCTGCTTCCATAAAGATTTACAGCCTCGGAAATCCTGTACAGGGTCGCTGTGAGTCGGAACCAACTCCACAGCACATAACAACATTCAGTAAGAGTTCTTGGATTGTAGCTTCATATTTTGGAGTATTTTTTCCATTTTATATTTGCTTGCCCTTGTAGTTGATTTAGCAAAGACTGGTAGCAATCAATTTAGGACTTAATCAGCCATTCCCAGGTAAATGATGAATTATGCCAAGGTACCCTTATTTTAAAGTTCAGAAGAAAGACATAGAGAAAACCAGTGATGTCATTTCTAAGAAACGAATGGTTATTATTAAGTCAATGCCTTTTAAGTCAGACTTAGTCTTCAGAATATCAGATCTTATCGTTTACTTTCATATTCTGTTATTTAAATACAGTAGTGCTTTGCTTCAAAAAGTATGCAATTTTATATATACATAGAATGTGTGTTTAATTTACGTGGTGTTTTCAAAAGATTCATAGTATTCTTAAATGTTTTTGTGACTATTTCAGGCAGCTCTTGACATTCGGCAGTCAGTGTTTGGTGGCAAAAATATCCATGTAGCAACAGCTCATGAAGATTTGGCTTATTCTTCTTATGTTCACCAGTATAGTTCTGGGAAATTTGACAATGCACTGTAAGTTCAACATGCCTTTTCAGTGAAGGATTATATTTGTTGGTTTTTCCGCTAGTACAGTAGTACTTAGTGCACTGTATGGTTTCAATTTGTCTTCTTTTAATAAGCTGCCTAGAATGTTCTTGAAGTCATTTACAATCATATGCCAATTCATAAGCCCTTCATTTAACCTTTATGTGGTTTAATATTGAGACAGTATATTTTCATGTAGATTATAATTTCTTTTGAATGATTCATTTTTCTTTGAGTAATAAAATAACCTGTAACTACATAGCAGACTCAATTCCTGAAAACCATGTTCAAAGCACATAGAAATGCTGAAAAAAACCAGAAGCATCATTTTTTCAATGTAGCTGAGCTTGCAAAGCAGAGAGAAAGTCCCAAAATGGACTCTTAACATTCAAAGGCATGAACTCTATGTATAGTTTATATTTTAAGATGATGAGAAGTTTAGAGGTCTCTATAATCTTGGGCCAGACTGCAAAGTCATTTGAACAGCAAGGTTGGCGGTTCAAGCTCACCAGCTGCTCCTCGGAAACCCTACACAGGGTCACTATGGGTCAGAATAGACTCGACGGCACTTAACAATAATAACAACAACGTAATCTTGGGAACAAGAACCATGGGTTTAAGAGACGAAACTTTGAACCAACAGAAGACTGTGTGTTAGAATGAAAACTCTCAGGTTAACAAGATCAAGGTAACACCCTCAGGGGAGAAACGGGAAAGCTATGCCCAAAAGGTTGTTCACCTTAGGTTGGACTCACAGCTGAAAAAGAAAGGTGCTTATAGAACAGCTTGTAGCTGTAAACCTATACCATACTGAAGCTTGGATGAGAATATTGAGAAAAACCTATACCATACATGCAGGATGAGAATATTGAGAAAAACCTTAGAAAGCACTTTGGGGTTATAGTTCTCCTAACATGTCTTATGAAGAAAATGTCAAATTCTTGGGAATAATTAACCTTCAACTAAACCATACAGAAATTTCAAAGATATATCTGTACCTAAAATGCACATAACAGTAAAGAAATTACAAACCCAGTAAGGAAATGTTTTACTGAGTGAGTCAGCAAACATAAATAATAGGATTAGAACCTTATGAATCTCAGTTAACAGAACTTTTGGTTGATAATGTAAATCATTTTACATGATTAAAGAAATATATTGTTTATGGCTGCTTTCCACTGCAACAGCAGAGTTAAGTAGTTGTCACACTTTGTGGCTGACAAAAGGTGTTATATATTTGATCCTATAGAGAAATTTTTTCCTAATTTGGATACAAAAGGAATTAGTAATGTTTTAAAGGAGGGGTAGGAAGCAAAAAAAAAAGAGAGATTTAAAAATTGAATAACATGCATTCTACAGTATAGATGGATGTAGAAAATTTGCTAAGTTAAAGGAGTCGATCATATTGTACAAATTATATGAAATATGCAGAATAGGCAAATCTATGGAGATAGAAAGTAAATTAGTGATTGTCTAGAACCAAAGGACTAGAAGGAAGTGTGGAATGATTTGTAATCAGTACAAGATTTCTTTTGGGGTGATGCAAATGCTCTAAAATTCATTTGTAGTGATGAGTGTACAACTCTGAATATACTAAAACCATGGAACTGTAAGCTTAAAACAGTGAACTTTATATCCAAATTACATCTTAAAACAAAATATACAACAAATTGAGTAACTAGAATTAGAGATCATTGAAATTAATTACTCAGTGGACAAATTAAACATCACATTAGAATGAACTAGTGAATTGAAAGACAAATGTGGGTAAGAAGAAGTAGGGGGGCTGGGGCTCTTTTAGATAATTGAAAGTTACTGGCAGATGAAATAGATAAATAACTTATCTTCTGTTTGGGGAGAGTTCATGTTGAGAAGGATAAGCATTTAGAGAGTGAAGATGGATTTTTTTTTTTTCTTAAATGTTTTATTGTGAATTATGTGATAGTTTACATGGGAGAACATTAGTTTTACATTCATTCTACCGTATATTGTCTCATTGAAGATGGATTTTTTAGGAGCTTTTATGTAGCCTAGTCTGGAAAGGTCTGTTCAAGGAAGGTTGAATCATGGGATCTTCAGAGGAAGACCATTTCATAGAGAGGACACAGCAAGTACAAGGATTCTGAGGTGACAGCAAGCTTTGCTTGTTCAGGAAACTGAGTGGTTGAAGAAGAGAAAAAGGAGTTGCTCGGAGGATGGCAGAAGGTGAAATCAGAGAGGTATCAGAATGATAGATCATGTTGAGACTATAATAAAGACTTCAGATTTTATTCTGAAGATGAGAGGCCATTGGTTTTTTGTTTTTGTTTTTTGAATTTTTTTTTAATGTTTTATTGTGAATTATATGATAGGTTACATGAGAGAACTTTAGTTTTACATTCATTCTATTATGTATATTGTTTCATTGCCATGGT